GACCCAACACTCCAGCTATATCACACTGGGACAAGGGAAGTGACATCCCTGGCTGACATGAAGGAACTGAGCCTTCAGTGAGCTGGCTACTGTGACCCTTCATACAGAGATAAAGCTGGAAATCCTTTATTTTTAGCCCATTTCCTTCCATATAAAAACAAAGCAAGCTAATTTTCTAAGTAAAACACAAGGCCTCATACTTGTATTCATGAAAATTCCCACAACCTGGCATTGGGATAACACACCAGGCTTTCTAATGGTGCAATTTTGCCCTTTTCACAACTTCAGTTCTTTTTTCAGTTCTTACAATCCCCTGATTCTCATAGGTTTGAAAATAATTAAGAACTTCATCTTTTCGTAGAATTCCTTTATTTTGCCTGGAAGGGCCTTTACATTCTGCTTAAGGGACCCTTACTTAAAACTCCTTGCTGAGTGAGTAGTCTCCTACAGTATAAAGGTTGCAGGAGTGCAGACAAAGCAGCTTGCAAGGGTCCCAGTGTAGGTATATTTTGTTTACATGAGCAGCCACTGCTGATCTCTACCCCCTGCCAATTAAGCCAAGATTACTGAAATCTTCTAACTGGTATTTAAGCATGCTGCCATACATGCTGTTTTCATGAGGCTTTAAAAGGGACAGGAAATAAATGTGGCCCAGTCACAAAATATATACCTTCATTCTCCTTTTGACATCAGATCAAGTGCACACTACTGATCTTGGCAGGATGTTCAACCTGTAGATCAATGAGACCATAGCAAGCCGTGCTCTTCTTTTGCTTTACAGTATAAGGAAGCCACTAGCAGTACATTTTTTCATCCATTAGAATTCAACCTTTTATTAAAAAATGACTGGGATACAGAGAGAAATTACACACGCTTTCAACTGTATATTCAGAAAAATACAGAACTGAAATGTCACAACCAGCAATTCATGCTGAGCTTTCCACAATTAGCAGCTCAAATATTGAAGCCACCCTGGCTAAAAACTTCAGCTCACTCTATTTATGTTCTTAGTGCACATCCTTCAGTGAGAGACACACAACTCAATAACTTGTGGTTATAAAAGGTTCTCAGGCTTCTCCCAGCTTTTATTTTTAGCCTCTCACTGTCAGGGCCTCAGGGAGTGCAGAGGGAGGGCTCAGCTCCCCAGGCGTGGCAATGGCACCTGGGGTTCCTGAGGGGACTGTGGGACCACCGGGAGGAGCAGCCTGTGTCCAGGGCACTGCTGCAGGGAGGCAAGGAGCAGGAGGCACTGGGCACACTGAGCTCAAAAACGAAAGCTCCTTCTTTTAATGTTTATTTTCTTGGACTGATACCTTACAATTTCATCTTCTCCCCACCCAAGTCAATCAGAAATAATTCCTGTTATCCCAGATGATGTTGGTGGATCCTTGGGGTTTGCAGAAACCCCACTGCCAGGAGAGTGGGAAATCCTTCCATGACTTTGTCGGCACATCTGACGTTGCTCCTTCTTTGTGTTTTAGATAAGGAAAGTGGAATCCATTTCCTCAGGAAGAAGACATGCAGTGTTTATAAATGCTGTCACCGAATGGGGTGTTACTCTGAGTCACCAGCACTTACTGGGCCACTTGGAACAGACTGAAATGCCAGATTTCCCCTGGATTCCAGGGGAGATCAGAACTCATTTCACCACTGTCACTGCCCTGATCAGCATGGTGATACAGCTGTCTGGGACAAAAGTAAGCTGTTGGAAGCGACTTTCTCATTTCCTTTTTTTTTTTTTTTTTAATATGACAGTTTTAAGACTTCTGTACCCCAAAACATTTGTGTGTTATTATTGTGACCTCTGGTTTTATGTTACGATATAGAGAAGCGTAAAGTCCATTACAGTGGGATAAAAACCCAAAGATTAATAACCAGCTGAACCAAACTGGTCCTCAGGTTTGAAATAAATATCAGCCCCCAGCCAGTCTTATTACTGCCATTTAAATCTTCATCATAACGTTTGTATTTAATATTGCAGCACCCCCTGTTAAGCTTTTCTCCCCAAGGCAGCACACTAGTTCCTGAAGTGCAGTTTTTTTCTGCAACCCGATTAGATATTCTTTTTAGGAAATTTTCCCTGGCTGCTCCAAACTTTACAAGTTACTTTTCACACTGAAGTATCTCAGTGCTCTGTGGCAGCATGTATGTTGCATTCTGTATGCTATACTGCAATACCATGCAATGCTGGGTTATATTGCTCTACATGCAGTACCGACGGCGCTACCAGGAAGACACTACTGAAACACAATAGCTATAGAAACATTAGCATTCTGAGATCCATTAAGTTCTAAATAGAGCAAAGTTAAATATTTATTTCCCAGCTATTGATACTTTATGAGACCACTGTAAGCATCCATGGCTGCTCTGCCTGTGTTGGAAAAGCAGTGTTCCTACCTACGTGGAAAGAGCTCTCAACAGTAGCACTGATGATTCCACCTGCACTCAGCTCCCACTCTTTCCACTATTTGTAGGATCCCAAGCATTCAGTTAAAACATCAAAACTAAAGATCTAAAGCATCATCCTAGAGAAATTCACTATTTTTTCCACATTTTTCAGGTATGACATTCTGCCTTCTGAAATTATTCTAACACAAAACCAGCTCAGTATGTGAAAATCCTATTTTAAAAGCCTGCCAAAACTTTTAAGCTACTGTTTTTTCCTCTTTCAGATGCCTCTACTACTGAATCATTGCATTCATGGTCATAGAATTAATGAAACTTACACTTCACAGGTAGTGAGATTTGGAAAAGCAACAAGAAAATTATTCCATCTCTAGAGGAATGTTTTTTCCTAAAGTAATTTTCTGTAAAGCATAATGGCAAACCATATACAGAATACAGGCTGATGTAGCAAAAAATCAGAAGTATTTTTGTTTGAACTTAAGTTGAGGTAATGCTCACAGCTCATGTGTGGTTTAGAGTAATGCAACCATCCAAAATGCATGCAGAGAAAAAATGCCACCAGGACATCTATTTTTGTGCAAACCCTCAATAGCATATAGTGCCAAATCATAATTGTTCTTCTGAGACAAAACAATTTTTTTGAGTATGACTTTATCAACCAGACTTTTCAACCAGGTCCATTTATTCAAGGAGCTACCCCTTCCTTATTGTTTCCTAACTTTGTAAGCTATCAAAAGGTTTAGTATTTATTATAAACATGCATCTAAATCTCTCTTCTTAATGGTTACATTTAGAAATCTAAATATTTGCAGTAGGGGAGAAAGCGCAGAAATGTGCACCTTGACACATTATCATTTTGAAGTAATTCAGAACTCTGCCCTGAAAAATCTATGAAAGCAAAAGATGCAAAGCAGGAAGATGCGTAAATCAGGAAATGCTACCCATTAAAAAGAAAATTTTAAAACAATATTTTACTGCAAAATCTATGTGAAGTTGGGGCACTAGTATTTAAATGTTAATAACACACTAGGTAACAGAGTCTAAATGGCTGTCAGGTTTTTCTTTGTATCAGAGCCTAGGTGATGCACTTCCCTCTTCCTCAAATATCTTTAGGTCTGAACAGCTAAAATACCTGTATCCCTGTCTTTCTGGAGCCAACATGAAAAGGCTTCATTCAGCTGAAGGCAGAAAGAAATAACAAGCCACTTCAAAGAAACATTCAGAAGCTTTCAGGTCATACTAAAACTTACTGAAACTTCACTGCAGCCACTCAAAGAGAGGCATCTTTTATAATACTGTCAGTATTGCAGATACTACAGGCTGTGAACATTGCAATTAATTATATTTTATTAAACCAGGAACAAGGAATATTCAACTAATGCATCATTTTCTCAGTGGTGAAATATGTATTTTACAGGACACAGACCATTTTATATGATTTCTAGGACATAAATGTCAACCCAGCTTTTTTATTACGCTGGTTGAATTTATGTAATGAGCTGTCCTACAAGGGAGGCCAGCCCTGCATTTTTCATTTGCTTCTGCAGGGAATTTCTGTAGTGAGCAAATAAGCCTGGGTCTAATCTGCTTCCGTCTGCAATCATTTGAAAAATGATGCTTGGCACACAGCTCTGCACAGCCTTGCCATCTGACAGAGACCAGTTCCTCACACCAAGAGACTGAGCAGGCTGAGAAGTGCATCTACGTTATCTACAGCAACGAGCCAGTTCTTTTTATTCTGCAAATCCTGTAACTATGGCAGGGCCAGCTCTGGGAAAGCTGCTTTTCCTGCACTGCTACCCAAGGGATGGAGAAACAACTGTCAAACACGAGGGAGGAGGAATTGAGGGCTTAATTTGCCTCCAACTCACTGAGTCTTTTCCCCGACTGAGTAACGGGGTGTCAAACAGCCTCTGGTTACTGATGGTAACCCTGGAGCCTCCAGGGTCAATTCCTCACTCATGTCCTATAACCCTGGCAGAGGAAAGATGTCTTTCTAGTACCTGAGAACAGCTGCCTGGAAGGTTTCAGGTCTCTGCTAGGCAGACCAAAACCACCACTGATAAATGATTACCCGCCAAACAAGGGACAGCACTGACGAGAACACCTGACTGCCTCACGAAGCAGTGAACAGAGACGAAAACCCAGGATTTTCTGTGAGGTGCGGTCCGTGCAGCCCTGCTGGAGCTCACGCACCGGCGGGGCCTGTGTGCTGCAGTCAGCCCCGGCATGAGACACACGGCCCCGAAGTTTGGGGGCACCCCTCCCTCCAGAGGTCTTCAGTCACCACATTTTCACCCCTAAACAGCTTTTTGCTTGAGATCCAGTCGAGCCTGCCCGTGCACTGTATCTCCTGGCCCCGCTCCGCTGACCCTTAAACACGCACGTGCTTCATGTCCCAGTTTAGGCGGAGCCGAGATCCCAGGCTGTGCCCCGCGGGAGGACGAGCCGGGGCTCAGCGGCGGGAAGCGCCGGAGCTGCCTGCGCATTTCGCTGCTGTAACAACATGACTCCCTCCAAAAACCGCCTGGGCTGCCGGGGGCAGCCTGAACTGCTGCGATGGGCATCGCCCTTCCCGGAGTACCCGCTCAGACCGCCCCTGCAGCCGGTGCCGAGCGCCCGGAGCTGGGAGCCACCTCTGCGGGACGGGGAGAGCCGGGGGCGCTTACCAGGTACCAGACGCCGAGGATGATGGTGCCGGTGCGGACATGGCAGCAGAGGCAGCAGCTGTTGGAGTAGAAGCGCGCCCAGGGCGAGCTCAGCATCTCCGCAGCTCCTCGGGGCTCCGCGCCGCTCCGCGCCTCTGACCGCGCCGCTCCGCGGAGGCGGGGCCGGGCCGGGCCGGGGCCGCCCCTCCCGGCGGGCGGGGCCAGTACGGGCACGGCCCCGGCAGGGCCGCGGCGGAGGCTCCGGGGACCTGGTGGCGACCTGGACCAGGCCCCCGCTGGAAAATCCCCGTCTTCCCGCTGGAGAATCCGAAGCACGGGGGGCTTTCAGAACACGAAGTCCAGGGAATTCCGCGAGCTGGCAGCCTGGCCGCGGCCTGCGCCGGGTGTTGGGCAGGTGCCACCCTCCTGGGGGCCCTCCCGCCGCTCCTCTCCCCTCCCGGGCGCACCTCCTTTGGAATGAGCCCGGTGAGGGCGAACTCGGGTCGCCGCTTCCTTGGCAAAGGCTCGTCTCGGTCCTTTAGCTCGTCTCGCAATTCTTGACTGGCACAGCTGCAGAAATAAACTCCATTTCACTTTAAAGAAAGGCCATATCGGAGGAGATCATGGAATGCTTTGAATTTTCCCCAAATTTGGGAGGAATGAACATTCAGTTTCTTCACAGTGCGCTCCTAATCCACTCCCAAAGTTGCTATTAAGGAGGCTGGAATTGCCTCGTTTAACTGACACACGAGGTAACATCAACCTCATTGCCGCTACCTCTAGTTAATGCCCTGACGGGGCGTGGGGAAAAGCAGCACTGGAAGGACCCACTGCTGTGTATTTGAGGACTGATGCAGGTTTGAACTAAACTTCCTACCAAGCAGCTGACTTTTTCATGTTTTGTTATTTGAGACTTGTATCATCCTCCGGAGGAAATAACAAAGAATATCCTACCAGGAGGTCTGTATGTCTACCCTGACCCTCAGCACAATTTATTTACTGCCATCCAACTTGGCTTTCTACCAAATCCCACAATTTATCATCAAAATATAACATTGAAAAGTACTCCAATGCTTCTCTATATGGTTGCTTTGGGGCTTTTCATTATGTCATACATACATCTGCACAGAACAGGAACTTCAAGATAAAAGCTAACTTGGCAAGGAGGAATGTTTCTAACTATGCCTTATTCCTACTTGTAAAGCCACTATAGTAAATTAAATTAAAAGTGTTTTAAGTAGGAACTTTACACAGCCTCTGTTCTTAGTTTGTCCTTAGAAAACTTTCAGGAGTTTGGCAGGGATTTATTTTGCATGAAGAGAAAAGCTGCTTGACATTGAATTTATAATTTTGACTGGATTATATGTATAAGGCCAATATTGTATTTGCAAGATTCATATTCAAAAATGAAACTAAAATTGTAGTAAAATGAATCATTTATATTGACAAAACAGAGGGACCAAAGGAAAATCCTGAACAATGACTGTTATCAGAGACTGTGTCTCTGGTAACCTTGAGAGACCTTGGCCTTTAATACCAGAAAGTAGGCAAATTAGAGATTAAACCCTTGTATGTACGCCTTTTAAGTGTGCATGGAAGGTAAGAGCATCTGCTTTGTGAAAGTTATCTGACTGAGGACTCGACCTTTTCAAAATAAAGAGGGATGTGATAAACAAGGACCCACAGTTGCAAACCTGGTGGACAAGGGAGACAATGCCAAAGCCCAAAAGTCTCAGGTTACTGATTGATGGGCCATTGAAGAGCTCCATAAGAAACTTTGGACGGGGTCACCTGGAGTTTGTAACTGATAAGGGTCAGACAAGTAGACAAAACTTTGAAAGGAATGATTAGAGGAAGGGGATCAGGAAGGAGAAAGATCAGACAGAAAGACATATAACGAAGTTCAGTCGTGTAAAATCTGACAGAGCCCTCTGCTTGCTCACCCTGTCTTCTTATGGAAACTTTAAGTGTCTCTCTGTGTAGTCTCCACTCTCCACACAGCATGTGTGGGGCCTGTAAGGAGCAAGTGCCAGCTCCTGGGGGGGGTCAGGTGAATGAGGGGCTCAGTGCCAGCAGCTGGAGTGGACCATGGGTCACAGCCTGATGCCCGGGGCTGGCTGCTGGGGAGGTGGGTTTTTCGCTTGTAAGCACCAAGCTGGACCAGCTGGCCTGTACTTGGGTCTTCTGCGAGTCCTACATGTAGGAGGCACAGATGAAGGCAGCACCTTGTCTCTGGCCATCTGTGCAACTGTTCCTGTTGAGGTCCTGTGCCTGCAAAAGGGAAAGCAGCAGCTGCATCCCTCAGACTGGGATGGGCACAACAATCTGGGCTTTCGCAGACAGGCAGGAGAAACTCCAGGCCCTGGAGAGAGTCACTGGTTGTAACATCTCGCAGCACAATGCTCATCTCTGTAAGGAGAAATGAACTTCATGTCTGCTTTTGCTTATGGTTTCCCATCAGTGGCTTTGATCTCCATATTCTCAGAAGAAAAAGGAAGGAAGAATGAGCAGATGAACACTAATCACTTCAGAGCAGTTTCCTGTATAATTATTAATTTCCATTCAAAAAGCCTAATGAGAAAAATCAGGAAACATTAGGCTTCACATCACACTCTTGATTTATAACCAACTGCACTTGGTTTACTCGGTGAGGTTTTGGTTGCGGGGAGGCTTCAGAGGCTGAGTATTGCCACACTTATTGACCCATAACCACAGTCTCCATAGGTAAAGCCACCATGCCATTCACTTTGCCTTATAAAACAAGAAACTACAAACACTTCTTACTGAGATGGCTGTGAGTCCAGCATACCTGATCTTACACCCAGATGGTGAAAGATCATTTAAGATGCAATGGGGACTTCTGAACCGGATGACACCTGAGTTTTGTCAAGATTCCTAGAGGTACAAGAGACACTCCAGGTTGTCAACTTTATACATCAAAACTTGAACAGGACCAGTATCATTTCCTTGCTTGGAAAAATGATATAAAATCAAGTGAATCAAGAGCCTACTTACAAGCACTTGTTTTAGTTGTGCTAAAAGTAGATAATCTTTCCAGTGGAATCCACGATATGGTAAGAAATTTTTCCAAGGGAATGTTCAACGCTGAAATTAAACACTGCACACACCCTTGCTTAGCCACTGATCAGCGTGAAGGCTGTAGGATATGTCCAGAAGAGAAATGCAGACTCATGGCTCCCACCTGCCCCTCCTTACCACAGCAGAGCTGTAATCACTAAACTCATTTCAGACAGCCACTGGTTCCCCATAGCACACACTGAGAGCTACACTAGCTAACTGGGGAGGGACCCAACCCAACTTTCCTTCATTGCCATTCTTCATTTTCTTCATTCTCTGTGCTTTGAGCTGTTAAAAAAATCCAATATATTCTGTATATGTCCAGCATATGTTCTGTTTCTGCTCTGTACTCCCCCATGTGTTCCCCGTAACCTTCTCACTCCAGGGACAACTTCTTCCTCCTGCCAGAGGATGCTCTGATCCATTTGGCAGTTTCTTGTGCTTTCTAGTGCTCACTAAAATTGGTTACTGGTTCTTCCCAACTTTTTTAATACTTATCTGAACAAGATTGCTGGAAGAGAACAGTTGGCTTAGAAGTTGCCTCTTGTTCCCACCTTTTGTCTGTACTCACAGTCCACAGAAATGGTGCAGCATAGTTCAACCGGCCTTGAATAATTCAATTACACTGTTACCCAGCATTGCCTACAGCACATAAACAAAAAGGTAGCTCAAGGGAATCCCATCTTCTGCTTGTGGGATTAGCCACGTGCTCCAGAGGGAGCAGAGACATTGTTACTCGTTTTGTATTTGGCCAGGATAAGACAAGATAAGAAAAGGGTTAAACATTGTCCAGAAAACAAGGTCTGGGTATTGTCCTTGGGCACAGGGAGGTGACAGCACTGGGAAACTGACTGTGATTGTAGTAAGGAGCCATTTTAAGAGTCTAAGCTTTTGTTCAGCTTGCTCCAGAGCTTGTGTTTAATGATGGCTGCAAATGATTCAGGTATGAAATCTTTAATATGACTAAGTTTAAAAAACACCTGTGCTTTCTAAAAAACATAAGCCTCCAAAATAAAAGTCTGACACTATCTCTCTTCCACAAAGACTGGCCAACATACAATCAAATAGGACTGCTGGCACAATTCAGTTTGGGTTCAAGAGGCCATTCATTCTACTGGTTTGTGTAAAAAAGATCAGAGTGAGAATAGTATTTTCTCTCCAGCATGTTACAACTCAGAATACATGTTAGAAGCCTGTAAGAAAGCCATTGCAATGACAGAGTTTGGTGTGCAACTGCTTGCACAGAGCTAGTCAAATTCTCATGTTTCAATACCCAACAATGGACAACAAACAGTTAGTTGGTTGTTGGTGGTTTTGTTTCGTCTTTCTTTTATTTTTTTACTTCTAAAAATTGTTGAGAGAAATGCCTGGACCTTTTAGCTCACTACTGGGATATTTTGTCACAATTTGCCTCATAGAAGATAGTGATTCTAATGCCTTAGAAAACTGATATACTCACACATTTTCTTTCCTGATGGTAAAGTGCGTTTGCAACTCTAGCTTCCTTGGGCCACAGCTTCTTCATTCTGTTTTAAAGTTGCAGCTTATAAAACCCCTATCATTAAAATATTATGATATGTTGCCCTGCCAAGAGCTTAAATGTTCTCCAAGGAAAACCTTGCTTTAGTGCATCCTTCCTTTCCCCTTTTCTGACTTGAAAGCCTCTCAATTTTGCTGTGAAGTTATAGGACTCAAGAAGCCTGGTGAGTTCTGCAGTACACTGAGATCCAGCTCTTTTTTCTCCTTCATGCCAGCCTCACAGATTAATTTTAATGTTTTAGGTGAGAAGAAATGATCTGTGCTACATTAATTAGAAACCTCAAAAATAGGTTAGGCAATTATCTAATTATTTGCTTGGCGGTAGATTTGCAGTTTGGTAATATGTACTGGAAGCCCATCTTGAGAGCCAGTGTGCTTTCCACAGGCTGCAGTCTCCTCAGAGGCATATCTTCCGCAGCACTGAATACCTGCTTCCAAAAGTATCTGGGTCTTCTGTGTACACTGCCTTTCTCCTTTCCCTTGCCCATGCTGTTCTTTCTTAGGCACTTTGGCACAGGGTTGCCAGAGGCTCAGGTTTTGCCTTGCAGAACATATGTAACACTGTAGGTA